ACTTACGCCGGTTCCTCAAGTGTTGTTATCGAAGGGCCGCCAACAAAGTAAATTGTTTGCATTGCACCGTACGCCTTTTCTGATTGTCATTTTGCTAAGGTACACGTTACCCAGTTCTTCATCTGCCGCCTCATCGTCGTCGTACTCCTCTCCTCCGTCAGAAATGAAAAGGTAATCATGAGCATCGTACAAATGGTCATAATTTTTAAACTGTGTTTATTAATTGTATATAGGCTGGTCGACAAAGTGTACGGAAGCCAAGCGGAGAGCATAAGCAATATCGTTTCGTCGTCTGGAAAACTGGTAACACCGGTTCTACCACAGGACTTGAAGGTTGTCAGCGCACGCCAGCGCCAGGTCAATCATAGCAGTTCTCAAAAGCCGAAAAAACATAAACGTTACATCCGCACGGCAGGCGGTGTTATATGGGAGGATATTTCGCTGACTGATTGGGAAACAAGTAAGCGCTTGTATTGGGAACACGTGTAGTCAATTTTCTTTTTAAACAGATGACTTCCGCATTTTTTGCGGAGACCTGGGCAATGAAGTCAGTGATGAACTGCTGGCGAAGGCCTTTCGCAAATATCCAAGTTTCTTGCGCGCAAAAGTCATCAGGGATAAACGATCAAACAAAACCAAAGGTTACGGATTCGTGTCTTTCAAAGATCCTCAGGATTTCATCAGAGCGTTGAGAGAAATGGACGGTAAGACGTAAAGGATATCTAACGAAATGTTAGTCTTCAAAATAAAAAATGAATATTGGGTGACATTTCACTGAAAGGTCACTAAACAGCGCCTTTCGCCGTGTTTTCCGGTTTTTATTGTACCAGTCCATCTCTTCGGACCCTTGGAAACTTGTGATCATGTGCCACTGAGCAGTTGACGAACCAGTGTTCAGTCAATCAAATTTATTACCTTTTGAACCTTTTGTCATCGTGAACAGGCACTGCAGTGGTGTGCGTGGTGCGTGTGTGTGTGAAAATACTCAAAACGTATTAAATATTTTCGGGTGGCTGTCCAAAAATTCCTGACATTGGGACAAACCAGACGACACAAAGGACGTGGCGTGATTGGTGTAAATTTGCTCCACTATTGCGCTGTACATTCACTATCTCAATGAGTCATTTTACCTCACGGGGTAAGCGGATATCGAAGTGGTCTGTGTCAGTGATTGTAGTCTCATCACTTTAGTAATCCTTCAGAAAAATCTCATTTCTGCGGGTTGTATTCAGGATTTCACCTTGCATCCAG